CCCCTGCCCGCGCGACGGCCGGGCTCGCCTCCGCAGGGGCTCTGCAAGCTCGGCTCAGCCGGCGGGACCGACTTCAGCATGAAGCAGTTCGCTGAGGGCTCCACGCTCAGACTGGCCAAGCAGTGTCGGAAGTGAGTCCCTGGGGCTGTGCGGCCCCTCGGGGAAGGGTCGGTGTAGACAGGCCGTCCCCCGCCCGCCCTGCCGGCCCCAGTCCCGTCCTGTGATGTTGGGGCGAGGCGCCCGCCGGCTTCGCCACCTGCCTGCCCCCGTTTCTGACGGTCACCCCCGCCCCGCATGTCCCTAGATGGCTGTGCAACGACCAGATGGACGCGGGGACTCGGCGCTGGGCGGTGGAGGGCTTGGCCTACCTCACCTTTGATGCCGACGTGAAGGAGGAGTTTGTGGAGGATGCGGCCGCCCTGAAGGCCCTGTTCCAGCTCAGCAAGGTAGCGTCGGGCTGGGGGAGACTGCCCGGGCCGAGCGGGCTCCTCTCGGCCGGCCTTGGCTGGTGGCTGCTGTGGCCCCGGGCGGCGGGCCGGCGGGCCTGGGGCGGGCTGGGTGGGGTGCGCGAGCTCCTGGGGACCTGGCCGGCGCTGGGCGGAGACCGGGGGCCTGGCCGCCTCCGTCCACGCCACCTGTCCCGCAGTTGGAGGAGCGGTCAGTGCTCTTTGCCGTGGCCTCGGCGCTGGTCAACTGTACCAACAGCTACGACTACGAGGAGCCCGACCCCAAGATGGTGGAGCTGGCCAAGTACGCCAAGCAGCACGTGCCCGAGCAGCACCCCAAGGTGAGGGGCCGCTGGTGGGGGCTCTGGGGACCCTCCACTGGGGCCAGCTGGCCCAGGGTCGCCACGGCAGCGAGCCCACCCCTGTCCTCCACGCTCAGGCCTGGATGGAGGGGCCCCGCCTGTCGGGTCGGCTCAGCCTCCTCCTCCCGCAGGACAAACCGAGTTTCGTGCGCGCTCGGGTGAAGAAGCTGCTGGCGGCGGGCGTGGTGTCGGCCCTGACGTGCATGGTGAAGGCCGAGAGCCCAGCGCTGACCAGTTCCTGCAGAGAACTGCTCTCCAGGTGCTGCCTCGGCCGGACCCCCGGGAGCCGGGGCCCCCACGGTCTGCCTTTGGGGTGGCTGCCGCTGGGCCAGGCTGCCCACCCCCCGCACCGCCTTCCCCCGCAGGGTCTTCCTGGCGCTGGTGGAAGAGGTCGAGGACAGGGGCACGGTGGTTGCTCAGGGCGGCGGCAAGGTGAGTGGCTCGGGGCGGGGTCCGGGAGGTGGGACCCGCGCTGCCTCCCACTCGCATGCTGGGCGTGGCCAGAGGCGCCTAGGAGCCCCCGGGCCCCCTGCTTAGTGGGGGTTGCTGAATGGGGCAGCCTGGGACCCCGAAGCATTGCCTAGTAAGGTCTGCATGCCCCGCCTCCCCCCGGCTGTCGAGCCCAGGGCCCCAGGGCCCAGCACAGTCCAGGTCCAGCCCCCAACTGCGGCTTCAGGAAGGCTGGGTGGCTTAACGGGGACGCCAGTGAGGAGGCCGGCGGAGCGGAGCGGCGCGGGGGCCTGGGGTTGGCCCGGGGCTGGCCTCGGCTCGGAGCGTCTCGGGTGCTGACAGGCCTGTGCCCGCAGGCTCTGCTCCCGCTGGCCCTGGAGGGCACGGACGTGGGGCAGACCAAGGCCGCCCAGGCTCTCGCCAAGCTCACCATCACCTCCAACCCAGAGATGACCTTCCCCGGGGAGCGGGTGCGTGTCTCCCTGCGGCCTCTCCCCCTGCCCTTCCCCCTCTGCGTCCTTTCCCCCTGCCCTTCCCCGTCCTCCCCCCAGGCCGTGCTCCTCCTCCCGGGCACTGCTTGGGGGGGGGGGTGGCGCCCGCTGCGGCCGTGGGGCAGCACAGGCAGCCTGACTGGTGTGTCCCAGATCTATGAGGTGGTCCGGCCCTTGGTCTCCCTGCTGCACCTCAACTGCTCGGGCCTGCAGAACTTCGAGGCGCTCATGGCGCTGACCAACCTGGCGGGGATCAGCGAGCGGCTCCGGTGAGGCAGGGACCTGGGCCCGGGCGGGAAGCAGCCCCTTGCCTCTGCAGGCGTCACTGGCGCCGGAGGGTCTCAGGGCTGGGAGAGGCCGCAGGGGCTTGGCCGCCGCTGCCGACGTGGCACCTGGCGCAGGACCTTCACTTCTGACCGGGTGGCCGCAGGCCGCCTCGCAGAGCTGCGCGGCAGTCAGATGGGCGGCCGCGGGGCCCTGTGCCATGCTGATGCCTGTGGGCGCTACGCCCATTGGCCTGTTTCTGTTGCCGCAGGACAGTCGGGGTTGCGTCCACGAGCCTCGTCCCGGGCAGTGCTCAGGGCTGTGGGTGTCCAGTGGGGGTGGGCGTGGGCCCAAGGTGAGCGCCCCACTGCCGGCACCCCAGCCCGGACTCCTGTAGCTGTGGCCTGGTTGGATGGCTGCAGCCCTGTAGTCCACACCTGGGGGACGTCGCCGCCCGGGGCACCCCTGGGCTGGGGTCCGATGGGGATGGTGTTCAGACGAGGCCCCTGGGCCCCGCAGGCAGAAGATCCTGAAGGAGAAGGCTGTGCCCATGATCGAGGGCTACATGTTCGAGGAGCATGAGATGATCCGCCGGGCGGCCACGGAGTGCATGAGTAACTTGGCCATGAGCAAGGAGGTGGGTGAGGGCCGGGCCGGGCCGGGCGGGGCGGAGAGCCCGCCTGGGCTTGCCCCGACGCGCCTCTGCTGCGCAGGTGCAGGACCTCTTCGAGGCCCCGGACAACGACCGGCTGAAGCTGCTGGTGCTGTACAGCGGCGAGGACGACGAGCTGCTGCGGCGTGCGGCCGCCGGGGGCCTGGCCGTGCTCACCTGCGCCCGGCCCTCGCTCTGCAGCCGCATTCCCCAAGTGGTCAGTGTGGGGGCGGGGCCAGCAGCGGGAGGCCCTGGCACGGTGGTGGCGCGGCTGGGGGCGTGCGCGTGTCTCCTGGTGGTCACTGGAGGTCTGTCTCACAGACGTCGCACTGGCTGGAGATCCTGCAGGCCCTGCTGCTGAGCCCCAGCCAGGAGCTGCAGCACCGGGGCGCTGTGGTGGTGCTGAACATGGTGGAGGCCTCGCCCGAGGTGGCCGGCACCCTGATGCAGAGCGAGGTGCTGGAGATCCTGTCTGTGCTGGCCAAGGGCAAGGACGGCCCAGTCACCAGGGCTGCCACGGCTTGCCTGGGGAAAGCCGTGGACTACGGGCTCATCCAGCCCCGCCAGGACGTAGATTAAATGGCTAGCGGCACGGTTCAGGGAGTGTGGACAATGCAGCTTCGGCCACACGCTGGGTGCTCAGCACTGCGGTCTTCTCCCTAGCTGCCCAGGGCACTGCCCTGCGGACTCTGGGGACCGCACAGACACCGCCTGCGCTGCCCGCGCCCACTGGCCCACAGGCAGCCCTTTCTCTGAGCTCTAGAAGCCCGCAGCTGCGCCCTGACGCCCAGGGCCCTGCCCGGGAAGGGCACACCGGCCGCAGCACCAGCCCAGCGTCGCCCGAGCCTGCTGCCAGGGCACCCACCCTCCACCCCCATCCCCACCCCAATAAAAGTGTGCCTCGCAAAAGTGTGTCCCCCTTCCTGGCCGGGAGGCTGGGCAGGGCTGAGATGGCACCGGCTGCTTCACCCGCTGGCCGGGGCCTCGCGAGCTACCCGAGGCGCGTGGGCCTGCCGGGTCCGGTGCGCGCGCGTGGCC